TTTTTATTTAGATCATATCAGAAAATGAATTACTAAATGGTCACAAGCTTATATATATTTTTTTTTGAGTAGTTTCAGATTGTAGCCTAAATCCTACATGTATAGGAATAGTTTAAGAATTGGGGACAAACCTTTGTCTTTAAATCTAAGTGGATAAAGCCCAATGATGTGACAAGATTCATAGGTGCAAAGGTGACATCATAAAATGTCTGGGGTGTGGGCATTGTAGTTTATTCTTCTTACATACAGTATAGCTTGGCAAAAGACATTTACTTGGATTAGCCTGTGAATAATTAGCAGTTTCATGACTGTTCTTCTGCAGATTTAAGTTATATGCTATTAGCCAACAGTGGCAACTAATGTTTTTCGAGGGTTGCATTTGACTATATGATTTTTATCTTAACTGGTTGTTGGTCTCTACATCGACATTTATTTATATATATGACACTAAGAGGTTAAAGAATTTCTGTCAAATTTCTTTTAATTTGCATTTGTCTGAACACATTTTCTCAAACACTATTTTGTGTATTGCAAATGGATTCAATATGTTAACTAACTTGGTTATTTGGAGTGTGCCCATTTGACACCAACACCCTGTAGATAAAACCTTGTAGGAACAATTGGATTATACCCAATGTTGTTTTCCGTCATAAAATATAAACTAAAATTTTTTCTGCCTTTGGTAGGAAGGTTTTTTTCAGGATAACAAATTGGTTCTGGAATTATTTGTTATTGGTGTTTTTCTGCCACAGCTCAGCCAATATAATTGCATCGTCAAGTGCTTCTCTGACACTTGGGATTTTTCTATTGAATCTTTCCCGTTCAGCTGCCATGGAGTGGGACTCAGAATCTGTCAAGTCTCAGGATGTTTTTAAGGCACCTGACAATCCTGAGGGAGAAAATAAAGCTGGGCCCAGCACTCCACAAAGCAAAGGAGGCGTCCGTCTGCATGAGTTTGTGTCCAAAACTGTAAGTCTATCTTTGTAACTCTAGATTAGAGTAGTAACACTATTTTGAATTGGATTTAAAGATTGGTTCTGAACTTTGTCATAAAAATTGAAATGAATTCGTTATTGTTTCTTAAAATGTATCCTCTTAAGCAATAATAAGGACATTTAAGAAATAGTAAGGATGTAAATTCCACCTAACGGCTACCTCTTACAGGTAATTAAACCTGAATCATGTGTGCCGTGCGGAAAAAGGATAAAATTTGGCAAGCTTTCATTGAAGTGTCGGGACTGCAGAGTGGTCTCGCATCCTGAATGTCGCGACCGATGCCCGCTGCCATGCATCCCCAACCTGGGAGGCACACCAGTCAGAATTGGGGAGGTATATGATGATATTTTTATTAACATTTCAGTTGATGTTCAGCCTCACCTTAACAGGGTTTCCTATTCCCTTACCGTCTTAGGGCGTCCTTGCAGACTATGTTCCAGACACGGCCCCCATGATTCCCCCCCTTGTGGTCCACTGTGTGAGTGAGATTGAACAAAGGGGGCTGCATGAGGTTAGTAGCGTATGCTCTGATTTAATGCCAAATTGTAGAAAGAAGCTCCCGTTGTTGTAATTTTTCTTTTCAAGCTTTCACAGAGACAGGAGGCTTGTAGTTGAGTTTGTCTGTTTTGGGGGAATAACATTTTTTACATGGCTTTATGAAAGCTTTAAATGAGGATTGGTGTGAAAAATGCTTTAAAATGTTGCAGCTGTGGGAAAAAAAAAATTTTTTTGGGTGGGTTCCTCTAGATCTACATTTTTATCTCCAAATTAAAAGAACTTTATGTAACAAAAAAATCAAAATGTCAGTACATGTGCAGAACTGATGGAGATCTAAGTCGAAGGATACAGTGGTTGTATAAAGTAAAGACTCTGGGAGGTGGGAATGGTGATGGAAATCTCAGGAACAATTGTGTTGGAAGCTTTAAAATTTCATAAGACAGACAATATATGTGGAGATGGAAAGTTGACTCCCTGTGTGGATTCAGTTTATTGTGTGACAACTTGCCAGTTATTAATGTTTTATCACTTTTTTATGACTTGGATGGATAGATTTTTTTTTTTTTACAAAAATGTAATGCGCCAATTCAGCTGGTACCCAGCGCACATGGGCTTTTCAGGCACTGTTTATGTATATATATTTTGTCTACATAATGCAGCTTTTGGTTCCTATCTGACAAAATGTGGAAAACTTTAATGAGCCTGAATATTTTAGCAAGACTTTGTGAACTTGTCATGTGTCTAGTTAGTACAATAAAATGTTATTTCAGGTTTATCCTTTAAACTCTTTTATTTATATATATATATATATATATATATATATATATATATATATATATATATATATATATATATATTTATAAAGAAGTTCCAACAGCATATGGATGGTGATTGTGCTATTCTCTCCCCTTTAAGGCTGGTCTTTATCGTCTGTCCGGTGCCGATCGCACAGTGAAGGAGCTGAAGGAGAAGTTCCTCCGCAGCAAAACCGTTCCTGTGCTCAGCAAGGTGGACGACATCCATGCAATCACTGGCCTCCTTAAGGACTTCCTGAGGAACCTGAAGGAGCCTTTGCTCACTTTCCGCCTCAACCATACCTTCATGGAGGCAGCTGGTATGTGTTACTTCATGGGACTAGTCTAATATAAAAAAAATTTTATACAGAAATGGAAAGATAATTGTAAGCTGTTAAAAAAAAACAAAAAACAATAACGATAAAACAGTAGTTCTGACACAGTTATTTAGTACAGATTTATAACGGCTTTTTGTGTTTTGTTGTCTTTGTTAGATTTGTTGAAGAAAATTAAACCTCCTGGCAATAAATTTTTTCAGGCAGATTATTGGTGTTTTTTGTTTAAGTTAGAAATATTTTCATTTTACCTTAACAATGAAAATTGTTTATATTGCCTTGTTTCATTTGAGAAAATTTTTTTTCCTCTCGCAGAGGTTTCAGATGACGACAACAGCATCGCTCTGATGTACCAAACAATTGCTGACCTGCCGCAGCCCAACAGAGACACACTGGCGTTTCTGGTTCTTCACCTGAAAAGGTCCGGGGGCTAGTGTCTTCTTCATTAGAGGACTTTAATTGCTTTTAATATGCTTTTCACCATTCTGCTTTATCATCTAATTAAATTGGTGTTAAATAAAAAAATAAAGTATATGAAAATTCTAAATTCCTAATTGTCAAACACAGTTTTCAGTTGATCAAAAAGTAATTGAACGTAATGAATCCTTTGTTTATACAGGCAATATATTTTTCTTTACATCAATGAGAAATTAATTGGCTCTATAAAATCTTACAGAGTTGCTGACAGTTTGGACACTAAAATGGATATCAGCAACCTGGCCCGTATTTTTGGCCCAACTATTGTTGGCCATGCTGTTCCCAACCCAGAGCCCATGACAATCCTTCAGGATACCAAACGCCAACCAATGGTAGGTCTGATCAGTCTTTTTTTTTTTCTTCCAGGATTTATTTCCATGCAAAGCTTCAACCTTTAAAAAACTGTTTTTATTGGAAATGTAAATTATATTATATAAAGATCTATACTTCTACAATTAATCAATAAGGAAGAAAAAATCTAAATTTCTTAAAGCAAATTAAGCTTTAAATCACTTTTAGATTAATGAGATGTGCTAGCAGGTTTGATTCCAGTAGGGATACTTTTTTACCATTGAAGGAAGCAAACAATCAACATTGACACAAGGTGTGGATTGGCCACTGCTGCGTGAGAAAAACCTTTCCATTCTAATCCCTGTCATAATAAATGTTTGCCATAGAATATATGTAAAACCAATCATAAACAAAGTAGATGGATTCTAGTACGCACTTGATCTAGCTTATATACTTAACAATCTGCAAATATCTGATTCCTCAGGCTAAAATGGGCTCCTTAGTTGACAGAAGTACAGGTCTATAGATGATGTATAATTCTTCGTTCCTTAGTAATGGATGGTTGAAGCTGCAATCTGTGCACTTCTGTCTCCCATTGTCTGTTCAAATCAACATTTGAGTGGGATATTTTAGCTAGAGATGCACCAATCAGATACCTACATTGGATATTGGCTCTAATATTGAGTACCGTAATTTTCGGACTATTAGCCGCACCTGAATATAAGCAGTAGAAGCTAAATCATAAAGTACATTTATATCTTTTTTAATTTGTTACATAACCTGATAGGACTCTCAGCTCAGATATCTATATCAGATTGGACTGGAAAAAACTGGATCAGTGCAATTCTGATTTTAGCCACGAGCCTGTTGGATTTTAAAATCCTAAGATTCCACAAAAACATGCATGTTTTACAAATGGTGCAGGCAGAGATGCTGCAGGAGTTTTTTTTTTTTTTTCTTTGATTTTTTCATGTGCTTTAGTGTGCACAGCGATGGCACGCCACATGAACACATGATTCAAAAGTAAAAAGTAGAAATAACAGAACATGGAAACAATTCAATCTGTAATGATTTTGAAATGGAAAAGGTGTAGACACCCTTCAATAGACTCATTTTACCAAAATGCTGGAAGCTGTGGAGAAATGCAACGAATGCTAAACATGAATAATTTAACTTACCAGCAAAAGCATTCATTTTGTCACCTGCTCCTATTTTAAAGCTTCCATTAATTCTTGTCAAATTTACAACAGACAGTTTTACCCAACCACACATGTCTATGTGATAAAGCTGTCTTATTGAAATTCCTCTTTTGCTGCAGACATCAATATTCTATGTAACTTGCTAGAGGGGAAGCAAGCTTTTTTTTTTTTTTGCACCCTTACCTTAGAGGATGATTTCATTACTGTAAAAGCATTCTCCATCTTTAGTTAGCCTTTAACATGATTTCCTCTTTAGGTCACAAACAATCTGATTAAAGTGAATAGAGGTGTGACGGCTTTGTAAAAGACAGTGTAATTAAAGCAATTGCTTCAAAATTGACGAAGGAAAATGCTAAAAAAAAAATCTATACAAAATATTTTTATAAATGTATTCACCTGGTCAGTGATCATAGTCGTAAAGATTTAGTCAAAAAAAAATGTGTACAAAGCAAAAAATTGTCAGATTGGGGAAAAAGTCTGGATTAACAGTTTTTACTGTTTTTGTTGTTGTTTTTATTAGCAATACCTCAGTTTGTTATGTTTTTTACCTCACTGAACACTTTGTCCCCATCGGCACTTTGCCATTTGAATTCTTTTAACCTGCAAATTAAAATTTGTTAAAACTTGTGAAAAGGAATATTGTAATTTGAACAATGGTTAAAGATTGATTGGCTTTTATTATATACTTGTTTTTGTTATTCAGATCCATATGTCATAATTCAGACCCAACAAAATCCCCTCCCTCTATTAATGGCAGCTCACAACTGAGTCGTGTAATTTTACCTACCAAGAAACCATTACAGTCCCACAGAGGCCTCTTGTATTAATTCCCCCTGTCTTGCTTAGGGCAAGTTAAATCAGTGCAGCACTGGTGCAATAAAATGAAGCGATCCACTAAAATAACTAATTATTCCATTTCCGTTCAGGTTGTGGAGCGTCTGCTCTCTCTGCCGGTGGATTACTGGAGTCAGTATGTGATGGCTGAAAATGTGCAGTCCAATTTGAATCATTTGATCATCGAGAACGCAAACTGCTATGCAACCCCTGAGAGAGGTAGGAGCTCACTTTCCTTCTCTGTTTCTGCAAGACTTGTGTGGTGCTGTTAAAGATTTGTTGTTTTCCAAACACATTTGGATATGAGAACCCACAATGAGCCTAATAAAAAGAAAATACATTTTTTATTATTTGTTTAGGGAAGAAGGATAACCAAAGGAGGCTGGTCCTGTAGGAAATGAAATTGGTAGCTGTTACCTGCTACCTGCTATCAAGAGTTTACAACAAGTAGCAATAAGTCCTTTTTGGATGATTTGAGCTTAAGGGTCCAGTTAAAGTTTGTCCAAACATCTCGGGTCACCAAAATACCAATTTATAACTTTTTTTATGTCTTTTGAGTCTTTCTGGCCTGCTTTGAAATCTTAACCTACTTTGTAAAAGGCTGGTTTATACTCAGAAACCAGGTCGTCTCCATGCGTGTCAAGGTGAATGCAAATGTGCCCCTCGCCCTTCCGCAGACACTCTGGTGCACCTCTCCAAAATTGTAACAGCAGACAGTGCCGCAGACAGGAAGCCTCTGATTGGTCAAATCTAAATCCACTCTACACTATGGGTATTTCCTGTTTGGTATCTTAACCGGCTTGTTTTGTTTGTATGTGGAAAACCACTTGTGAAAATGGAGCAGCTAGAACAGCGTGGTGCGCGAGACACTGGGTCCCTTTTTCCACCTAGATCCCCGCTCTTTTTCGCCCTCATGTCCCTCCATTGTTACACAAACTTGCCCCTTGCGTTTTTCCACTTCCTCGCCCCCTTGGCCGTATCTAAGCCCACAGCTAGTTCGTGATTCTCCCTCTTGCGTTGTGGCGTGGAATAACGTAGCGCAGACCACGCATCAAAATTGGGCATAAATCAAAAATATCTGCGACACACACACTGCTGCGAGAGTATAACCAGCCCTAAAGAATGTTTGCTAATCCATTGGGGAGGTAATGTTTTGTGGGCTTTATTTTTATTAATTTTATTTTCTTTAACAGAATTTAAACTAGGTGAAGTTAAAGCTACCAGTTTCGGAGTTCTAATTGGAATGTTTGTACAGTTGTTTTTTTAGTCAGTATACTCGATTAATTGATTTATCATATTGGTCAATGATCAATTGTTTCAGCCCATTGTTAATTTGAACTATTTAAAGTAAATCAATTTATTAGCTAAGGAACATATTATAAAATCCCATTACCTAATCCTCTATAAACTGTTTTTGTTGCAGGGAGCATGCTTGGACCCCTCGGCACCCCAGAACCCCTCACCAAAACCCCCTCCTCCAGCTCCCTGTCTCAACGTATGAGGTCCACCTTGACACCCAGGTAAATAAAGGATAATATTCTTTGCAACGTTAACATAGCTTTAATAAACGACTGTAGTGAGCTCTCTTTTGTGCATTTATTACGATCCATGGCTGATTTCCATGTGTGAACTATTTCATTACAGATTTGGGAGCAAGAGTAAGTCAGCTGTCGGATTTACTCATCAAGGGAAGTTCTTTTCCTCACCGCTCCTCAAATAATACAACACTACTCCAAATGACCTTAATCCATCCTCAGATTCATTACTCTGTACTAAAAGATGAGAGGTGATGCTGTTGGACGGATTTAATCAAATAGATTTTGCTTTCTCTTGCTTTTGACTTAAACTAAACGTATTGCTTCCATTTCAGATCATTATAAAAATGTCAAATATTTCCTGAAACTTGTTTACAGATGAAAAGAATATGTATGTGCAGCTTTTATTGTGGCTACGTGTTTTAATTTTTTGGGCTCTCCAGTTAAATGTGTCACTCAGAACCTGGAGAAACCATAAGGCATTTCATTTTAGGATGTAATTAGACAGGATTATTTTGTTGCATGAAAATTCAGTTTAGTGTTTGGTTATGTGGTGGCTTGTAATCTAAATGTGTTGAACCTTATAGTCCATGTTGCCATCAGCTTCAAAAATCATTAAGACAGATCATAGAACAGGTTTTGTCTGTTGTTTAATACCCAGACCAGTAGTTTGTGTGGTTTTATTTTTTGTTTTTTATTGTATATTATTGTTTATTTCTCTTTTTAAATTTGTGTTTTGGGAAAGTTAAACCAAATGCACTGCCAAATGATCATTGCAGGTTTCCTGTCTGATTGTTTCACTCCTCTGTTTCTTCCTGTCTGTAAAAGTTAAACTGCTGGGGGAAAAAAGCTATTTTAGTAGCCAGTTTAGCAACTGTGGCATTATTTGGTCATATATTAACACATTTTATACAAAACCATTCTCTGTAAAACCATTTTTCATTGTGGAATACATTTCTAATACCTTCAAACGTCTCCTGTCCTTATTGTTGCAACTTCTTCGAGTTTAACTGAAAGTCTTTGACCTTAGTCCTGATCTGTTTAATAAATTCTGCTTTAAAGGTCCTTCTGCTTAATCAAAGGCAGCTGAACTTAGAGATTCTTTAAGAACTAATCTGTCTCTAAAGGCTTCCTCCTCAGTTGCTGTCGGATTCACTCAGCACATAAGCCATGTGGACTGCAGATTAGAGCGATAGCTGCATTATACTTCATTAGCCACTCTTGCTTTAAGCCAACCAGGTTTCATGTACTGCATGTAATTTTTTTATTCACTATATTAGCAACTTGAATATTGATGTGAATATCTGGATTTTTAGAAGCTGTGAGAAATAATGAATTTCATTAACAGATTTAAGTAGCAGTAGTACTGATGTGATGGATTCCTTTAAGTAGATGTAGCTGCTGCTGTAAATTCATTACAAAATTTAATGGATAAATAAAGGACTTGCTAACTGACATACTGAAAGAAATAACTGCAAGAAATATTCCACTCAAGAGGTTTGGAGGAGAAAACTGCCTCCAGCCCATTGGTCTGTTAGGTAGACTACTGTGGAAAACTGTCCATGAAATACTTCTATGAAATTAATCTGTATTTAGGATTTTTGGGTGATGTTTTTGATGATCTAACCTCATAACACCTGTTACTAATTAGTGGATAAAAGCCCGTCCACATAAATTGATGTTTCTGTTTTTAGGTCAGTGCATTGGCTTTATTCATTTATGTTATGCAGTTTGTACCTAAGATTAGCTCTAAACCTGACTACATATCTATAAAAAAAACTCCTTAGCCCTGGACACCTTATTAGAAGGCTAAAACCCTAACTTTTAAACAAAAGTCAGATTTGGAGTTTACTTTTTTATTTATGACTTGCTCATACTCTCCAATTGTGATCTGATAAAGAATCTGAGGATTGAACTAAAGATTAGGGTGATGGCAAGGAGGCTTTTGAAGCTAAAAGACCCTGAGCTGATCACCAAAGAGGGATCCTCCTCTGTCATAGACTTCAATTAGCTGATTCTCTTTCTAAAGTGGGTGGAGTTTGAGTGAACTGGGATATAGTTAAACATATTGACACAAAACATGCAAGAAAACCAGTTTTTGGGTCACTTATGGACTCCCCTAGTTTGCCCCCTGTAATCCACGCTGTAAGCTTTAGATGTGTCGAAATGGGTTTCAAGTTAACCAGGGATGATCAAAACTACAATCTAAACTATAAACTCCTGGAACATCAGTGTTATTGTCTGCAGTGGAGCCAGCCTAACGGCAACATGGATGGAGAAGATGCAAACCAGGATCTAAATAAGTGCTTCCAGCGTTAACTTGAATTTACATACACCTTTAAATCCCCTCTGGTGGAAAGATAAACAGTATTTCTATGGAGGAATCAAGGTGAGTTATTTAAAGTAAACTGTCAACCTCATGCTGTAGGGTTCTGCTTTCTGAAATATTGCTTAAATAGGTGGACTAATAGTCACCTAACAATCCGTAGTGGGTCAAATAATATTTAAATGTTAGTCTGTTTTAGTTAGAAGTATTTGAGAATATTTTATTTTTTACTTCTATAAGATGCTGATTTTTAGGTGGCTTATTTTTTTTTCTATGCAAGTCTAGAAAACAAAGCTCTACAGCTGACTTCAGCTCGCAAACACTAACTCCTGTTTCCACTGTTTATTTCATATTCCATTTGTTTTTTTTTTCCAATTGAACATGTTGCTCTAAAAATGGCTGCTAATTCCCATTGATAAACAGATCAGTACTTGTTTTGTCTTTCAAACTATAAGATAATGCAAAAATCAATCTTTAACAGTTTGGTTTTGATTTTCTTCAGGTGTATAATGCCAGATTGTTCAGCTGTTAATTGTTTTGAGGTCATTGTGATTTCTTCCCCCTTCAAATTAATCAGCCCATTACACTCTTCCCAGAACTGTCTTAAATTCTTTCCCAGTGGGGTTTCTGAAAACGCAGAAAAGCTTAAGAGCTAAAGTTAATGAGGCCTTTTGCACATCAACAATGTCTCTCATACTGCCTTATCACCTCGTTCCAGGCGTATTTAACACATCACTCATTATTTCATACTGTACAGAAGGTGTTAGAATTTAAGACACAGTAAAATTATGCAGCCATTAACAAAAGAATATCCTTAGTTTGCATCTTTAATGTTTATAGCAGCTGTAAACAGTATCAAAACTTTGGCCATGGCCAGAGAAGAGGAGTGTTTTTAATGTATTCCTGGAAGGCAGGCTCAGATCCCCATTTCTTCATAGCCTGCTTCTCCAGAATGGGAATACCGCTGACATAACGCAGCAAAAACCACAGGAAGAGTGGAGACACCACGCTCAGGTACTGAGGCCCCTGCATGACAGACGAGGCAGAGAGCCACAGACCCGACCACTGCATGATCTCTCCAAAGTAGTTAGGATGCCTGCTGTAGGCCCACAGTCCACTCTGGATGAATTTCCCCTGTTGACATAAACCAGAAAGTCATTTTTTTTTTCCCCTACACAGAATAAGGCATCACGGGTCTGCTCAGAATAACGAGCCAGCTTACTTACAGCATTATCTGGGTCGCGCTTGAAAAGCCACTTTTGCTGATCCGCAATAGCCTCAGTAGCGAAGCCAATGCCCCATACAGTCCAGCCAATGTAGTCCCTCGGCCCCAGAGGCACATTGCGCTTCTCTACGTTAAGCATGAGGGTGGGCAGGAGGGTAATAAATATCCACGCCGCTGGAAGAAATAGAAAAAGATGAATCACTCAGCCTTGCTTTAATCTCTTCACCAAAAAATGCATTTAAGGCTGTGTAAATACCAGCCCCTGCCTTGAATAAATGCATATAAGGAGCAACAAAGCAGACATTGATTTATAACAAGAATCTCACTATACTGTTGAGGGCTGATCAGGCACAGAGAGGGAGGAGTTAAAGAGCCCTTTTCACATTAACACCACAACATTTTTATTGGGACTTTATTTAATAGATCAATGAAAAGTTATAGAAAGCTGGGAATTAAAAACTTAGAATGGTTTTCAGAGTTTTTCCATATACGAACCAGAGAGGTGCTGTTAGCTTTTCCTGCATTCTGCTAAAGTTGGATCTTTAGTTCTATAGTATAGATATTTAGAAGCTGACATTTTTTGTTAATTCTTCATTGTAATAAAGCTCATTATGATTTAGACACTATGTTTTGATCTATCTCTTGCATTGTGGCTCAGGCTGTAAGTTATCGGTTTACTCTCTCTGGAAGGTGAACCAGTGTCCCATTTTCAAGTCTTTTGGAGCTTCTAACAGGTTTTCTTCTGCGACTGAACCGTTTCCAGCTACACTAAATTCTCCATTAACTCTCACCAGCAAGCATCCACACAGCATGATGCGGCCTCCTCCATGTTTCACAGTGGCAATGGTGTGTTCAGGCTTTTGTAGGCTGTCAAACATCAAGCTCTACATGACCTAAAGTAAACTCTGAATTGTCTTGGAGGTACACTTTAAACAATAGCGGCATTTCAATTGACCATCAAATTCCGAAATTGTTAAATGACAGAAATGTATTTGCTTAATGGAAACATGTTAATAAATATTTTTTAAAAAACTTTTTTTTTAAACCTGTATGTGGTACCATGAGGTGTTTTTTCTTTTTTATGTATCAATTTTTTTGCATTTCACAAAACTGCAATGAAAACACGAGATGTGATCAAATAACGGATATTACTACTAGTGAGCAGTAGGAGGATGATGGCTTGGCATTTTTTGAGTCATCACGTGATCAATTGCATTTATTTAGTGGAAATGCCACAAATTTCTGACAAATATTGACAGAGTTTGGGCAAATTTATAACGAAAGCGCTGCTAATTACCATCTTTGTGTTAATCTTTCCTAAAGGCCAGATTTATGGGCGGTCCTGTCGCCACGTCAAGCTGACTCTTTAGTTTTTCCTCTTCTTTCCACCAGTCAGTTACTGTGGACGTCCACATCTTGAAAGGTGTGTTGTAGGTAGAACAGAGCTCTGTAAAACGTGTAAAGCTTTGTAACCCAACCCATCTTTAAACTTTATTGCTGACTTCTCTGCTAGATGTATAATAAGATGAAATTACACATGGTTGGTTGGACTCTTTATTAATTAGTTGACCTTTGAAAAAAATATATATTATTGTTTTCCTTTTCACAATTATCCAATAGTTTTATGTATCACATAAAAGCCTAAAAAAAAAATGGAAGTTTTTGGTTTTCTATAGAATCCCTTCCCCACTGTGGGGCAATAAATGTATTTCTCTTACCTTGAACGCTCCAGTATACGAAAAAGGTCCCTGGGCTGTCTCTGACATTGTTGAACCTGCGATCATGACCGTCCTTCAAGATTCGCAGGAAAAGGAATGTCCCCAGCCTGCAGTGAGAACTCATTTAAAATCCATTCCCATTAACTAAGACATTATTCATTAACTCAAGAGTCCTGACTTTAAAGTTTAACATTTTTTATTTCCATCATCTGACCCCGTCAAGAACCCGACATGCTTCAAACTAACATAAACCTCCTGCCTCAGTGTGCAACATGTGGGATCGGTTCTGCCTTACTTACCTGAGTCCCCATGCTGTCACCAATCCAGTCTGAACTTTCTGTCGGGTAGAAGTTGCTCCTCCCCAGATCCGACTCAGGTGCGCCAGTAGAATAAATGTGCCGGATCCTTCAATAAAAGAGAGTCAGCAGTGAATTACATAGGCTGGGATGAAGATATGCTGTTCAGAGCTACTTGTTGCAAGACAAGGCGTGTCCAATAAATCTTTTACCCAGGGTGCTTTAGACAATTGGTTCCAAAGTTCAAAGCAGAGTGGAGCACGAGAAGGACAAGTAAAAAAGAAGCGTCAAGGTGATTCCTTAGCGGGGAGAATTTTTATCTACAACGACCAACAGGTAAGCTTTGTGGTTTTGGAAATGTTGAAAAATCTAAAGGAGTTTTAAGTTCCACGCTGATCCGATCATATAAATTACTTTAAAAAAATGAGTAACTTCCTGATTGCAGTTATACTCAGCTATTCCCTCGAGTTGGTGAAGTTTTTATGATTTTACTCTCTCCAAGTCTCAAATAAAATACAGATTTTCATTGTTTTTGTTCTGAAAGGTCTGATCATTTCACTTATCGAACCAATGAATTAGTAGGTATATAATGTTGGGTTTGTGCAAAACTGAGGTATTGAGTCTAGTATTAAAGGCAGACAGAAAAAGGATTTGGATAATATCAACAGTTAATTAAACCTAAAGCCATTCATTCCCATAAATCTGGATAGAGGATCTTTAAGTAGGTCTAAGCTTCTGCAAAAGTGATGTCAGTTTCCATGTCAATCTATAGGATCCGTTTAAAAAAAGGGAGAAAAAGTTTTAGAAATATCAAAAAATAACTAATGCAATGCTCAACATGCCTCACTGGCACAAACAAAGTCCCTCCTTCTTTTATAATGCAAAAAGGTGACTTTCACAGGCGTTGTCAGACTCACTTTACTGCAGCAAGGAGACAGTTTTGTGAGGCCAATCCTATTTTAAGCGCGAACCATAACGGTTCAAAAGTTTTAATAAATATTACAAACACAAATCTAAAATTAGAAGCTACATGTTAGCCAAAATGTTCAACCCAAATCTAGATGGGAATATGGTTCAACAAAATAAATCAAGCACAAATGAAATGGCAAAGTAGGTTTCGAAATTCAATAAGTGAGACTATAATAACTCCATGAGATCCACTTTCAGATCCAACCATCTTCTCCCGCTCGTCTCCAGCAGTCTATGGGCAAGAGGCGGGGTCAACCCCTGACAGGTCTCCAGGGAAACACAGAGACACACAACCACACACACACACTCACACCTGAGGACAATTTAGAGGATGCCAAAATAGATATGCTTAACAGTCATGTTTTTGGAGGAAGCCGGTGTACCAGGAGAGAACCCATCCAAGCATTGGGAGAGCATGCAAGCATGCAGAAAGACTGCGGACTGAGAATCAAACTAGGAATGGTCCTGCTGTAAGGCAACAGTGCTACAAACGGCACCACTGTGCAGCCCACCCTAAGAGATCTGACTTTAAAATTTGTTTAATTCACAAAAACGATGGTTGGCATATTGTATTTGGGTTTAATAAAAAAGGGCATCAAACATGATTATTACCTTTATGACCATTACAGCAATCTAGCCCTTCATAAATTCGCTTTACAGCTTTTATCATGTTTCCATTATTATTTTTCACAGCTTATCTTTTGATGATAAGCTCCAATTATTTAGGGTTTATAAGAGCCCTTGTATTCGCCATAATCTTTAGCGCCCTCTGCAGATTCATTTTCAGATTCCACTCTAGCGGGGCCTTTTGGCCAGGAACGCCCCTGGTCCCATGATGGCTTTGCGCGCCTCTGGAGCTCCAGGCGCTGATTGGCTCTCCTCGCTTCTTAAGCTCTAGGAGGAGCTTTACTCCAGGGTTGTTTCACAACAAACCCACTTTAGATAATATACCAGAATACAGCTTTTGTAATCATTACGTGTTATAATTTATATGCTTTTGCAGAAAGTAGGCTATCCAAAATAAATTATATAAAACTGCTTTCCTTTGCACCAGCCTTTGTTTAGTTGTACAAAACACGGAGCTAAAATGAAAACAGCTTCTATTTGTGCGTCGCAGAGCTTTGTTTATTTTTACCTGCCAAATCGTAGAACTTCTCTGTCCTGAAAGCAGCAGCCAGAGCCCAGCCAGCCCACTGGATCCCCAGGTCGGTGAGGGCGCATTTAGCGAGAGTGCTTCCCATGATCATGTCCTGAAGCTCGGCGAGCAGCCCGCTGATCTGAGCGCCTGTCATAAAACCACTCCTCCAATAACCAGACAAATAATAGCAGTTTGGGTAAAGTTCACCAGCGCAGGGCTTCAGGAAGCGAGTTCAGCAAGGAACTCTGGGTAATGTAGTTTAAATGGGATCAGGGCTTCCGATCATGATCTGCAGGTTAATCTCTAGAAATTAAACTAAATTATTATTTTAATCCGAAACTAGTGTTTAGGGTACGAAAGAGGATTAGGGCCACTAACAAAATTTTTTTTCTGATTTTTAAATTTTATTTCAGTTTAGAATGGGAAAAAAAGTCAGAATTCTGACTTTTTTATTGTCAGAATTCAGTCAGAATTCAGAGATTAAAGTCAGAATTCTGAGAAAAAAGTCAGAATTCAGACTTTTCCCCCATACTAAACTGAAATAAAATTTAAAAATCAGTTAACTTTTTTTTATTCCACTGGCCCTAATCCTCTTCCGTATTTAGGTTTCTGATAATGTAGGTTTAGAAAATGTCACATGATAGAAATGAAGCTACATTTTTCACCCTTCTATTGAGGACATGACTAACATTTAAAATTATGAAAGTTACTGCAGCCAATGTCTTTTAAAATTTAATTAATAGTTTGATTAATTTATCAATTAATTCATCAATCCAACTATCCATATTAGATTTATCATGATACTACAGTAAAATTCCAAACTTTATATATATCGATACCCAGGATAATATTCGACACTCAAAACTTTTTTCGATACCTTGGAGGTGAAAAAAATGCTTAATAATTAAAGTAATAGAAATATATTTATCGACATGAAAAAACTGACTGAGAACGTTCTGAGTTCGAGCCCCACTCCCACAGACTGCCACTCTGGGTCCCTGAGCAAGACCCTTAACCCCAGACTGCTCCCCGGACGCCGCACAATGCCAGCCGACTGCTCCCCAAGGAGATGGGTTAAATGCAGACAGTGAATTTCTCCAATGTGAGATCAATAAAGTTCATTATTATTATTATCCGACTTTTCCCCAAGTCTTGGAGAAGTTTACACTGGTCCTTCGTTGTCTATGTATCATTCTGCCCCAAAGACCTTTTTTTTCCTCTTTCCAGCAAGTAGTTATTTCTGCATGATCAAAGAAATAACAATTTTAGTAAGTTATTGTGTGTTTGTACTACTATATTTATGTAAATCATTATACATGTAGAAAACCCAAAGGACTAACTTACCTCGGGGCCTGGTAACTATGGGGCCATGAGCAGTTGGTTAGTTTGCTTGGAACATCAGCAGTAAATCTTGATTTCTATGAACCGACTATGGCTCAAAATGTTAAATGAGAACCTTTGGGATTTTGATCAGAAAACTTAAATTCTTTATAAGAAAATATGAAGGAAGGCTTAACAAAATGTAAACATTTTAAAGAACATTTAATATACTGTATAAAAGTCACATGCTTTTGAAACTATTCTTTAGATAATTTTGGCAAAGTTAGTTTTTGGTGATGCTAGGGAAACTCCATTTAATTTTTAACCTGTTATTTAAAAGTGACCTTTATATTATCAGTTTAAATATCAACTAACTGTAAAGAAAACTTCATGTTATTGGAACAAAGTGCTTCATGTCCATTTTCCTCATTCAATGGCAAAAACAGAGAAAGAATAGGGATTTTAACCATTTTTGAGACCAATTAAAAAATATAAGGTATTTACAATATGATTGTAAAGAATATTAAAGACTATAGAGCAGTATTAGAAACATTAATTTATTAAATTTGTGTTTCTTTCTAGCTATAAAATATATATATACTGGGAAGTATGTAGAATGTGGAAAAGTCACTTCTCAGACTGTTTCATTTTGTAGCCAAAATACTTATTTTTATTCTTATAATAATGTTAAGTATGTTTATGAACTAGCCTAATTGACATTAGCTGTTTAACTAGGATTGTTAGATATACAACCTTTCATTGTTGAGTAAATTGGATGAAAAGAAACATTTATTTTATTTATTTAGTGTTACAAAAGTTTTACTTTTTCAGAGGTATTTAAGGGTTTAGATACGTATTTATATGATAAAGGAAGTATTACTCTATAAAATCTGAAAGGTTGGTGTAAAATGCTGTAAACAAATAACAATCCAAAGATTAAAAAAATTAACAGTAAGGAAAAATATTATCCAAAAAAGATTGAATCATGAAATGATGTGTAAAATTCCCTAAAATAAATTAATTTGTTGATACAATAGCATAGTCCTAAAAATCCAAAACATTTTGAACCGAAAAAAGAATATGGTTCGTTAAAAACTATTATAGAGGCCCAAAATCCACTGTTTGTTAGAGTTTTCCAATTGAGCTTTAGAGGCGTTTCCCCTCTTTAACATCCTGCTTTCTGTAGTTGATGGCAAGATATCCATCGTTCCTTATTCTGCCTTTTTTGTCATATCTACATTATTTAATATGTTGTATATTTTCTTGCATAAATCTAAATTAATAATATTAGAAAGCATTTGTTTCACTTGAGAGGAAAGTTTTATTGCCTGGCTCAATACTCTCCTGTCTAAAGCAGACTACACCAATCACAGCGAGGGAGGAAGGCCCATAGCGCTGTAACTCTGTTTGTCCCTCCTTCTACATGACATCAGTTTGCCTGACTGACCAGTCTTGGAATCTTTCCTATTTTAAACAGCAGTGAAAACAAATATGTATCACAGCATATCCATAATGTTTATGTCATGATGTTTTTTATTTTCTGTTTCTGCTCAGAAATAAACACAGAAAAGCTCAAACATGGCAGACAGCACAAGTCCAAAAGGCGGCTCAGGTGATTTTGCAAAGAAAGTGCAAAAACAGTTGAGCAGAGGCAAAGAAAAGGTACAAAACTCCACAAATTGGTCTTCAGATACTAATATAAATAAAAAAGAAAGCCAAAAGATTCAGATTAAAAATTTCTTTAATCCAGGTAATGCAAAGGCTGGGGAAGTCACTGGAGACTAGAGATGATCAGTTTGAACGCTCCCTCCAGATATTCCTTGACCAGCAGGTAAGAAAAAGTCCCTTTAATATATGCATAAACTTATTCTATGACCTAAGATTATTATAGCCAAAGCATTTTACATCTTTTACAGGAAGATTTATATGTTCAAGAATGTACCCCTATCCACATTATTTCCTTTTACATCTAAAAACGTGAACATTTTATTATGAATTCTATTATTATATAAAATTTTATTATATTTAAAATAAAAACCAACATACAGTAACTTTTGTCTTTCAAGAAGAACAAGGAAACACAAATCAAAACCTTTAAAGTTTGATTTCTAAAAACACTAGTACTCCTTAATAAAGTTTAGAGTCAGTAACTACCTTTGAAAATTGCTGCATAACGCATAGCAAGAGCTATAATCTATGGAAACATTTTGTTTCACAAAGAAATTTCTTTTTAATCAGTTAGAAAAATAATAACATAAAGAAAAACCCTGAGGAAAAAAATATAAAAGTGTAAATCTAGTGGAGACAAAGAAACTCCCCAAAAAGACAATTACAACGGTGTGAAAAACGATTTGCTGAAGTTCCGAGCTTTACTTTTTCCAGCCTCAAATCATAAAACAACAAAAAAAAACATGATAAAACAGTGCAGTTTGCAGTTATCAGCCTGAACATGAAATCCAAATAAGCAATAAAGTGTTTAGGAATAAAAATGTCAACAAAACTTCAAGGATGGGAATATTTCTGCAAGGCAATGCACTGATGGTCAATAATGTAAAGCTGAAACTGATTGCAAACTCCTTTTCTATTTACAGACGGATGGGAACCGAATATATAAGGACCTAAGGAACTACATTAATGCAATCAGGGGTATGACGTGTTTTTGTTTGTAGATGCTGCAGGGATTTAGCTTTGTTCCATCTGCAGATCCAAATTAGTTCTTCTTTTTACAGACATGCGTGAAGCTTCAAGACGCCTCTCTCAGTCGCTGTTTGATGTTTATGAAAACGGCTGGGCTGGGGAGGAGGATTTGGGAGCCATTGTAGAGGTTGGTCATGCATCAATGAACACCCATATAGACAAATAGGCTAAAGAGGAAAGGAAATCCACTCATTGCCTGAATTCTCCCTTTATATCTCTTTATGAATATTTAATGCTGGGTTGTTTAATGAAGGGAGAGGACCTCCTGTGGAACGACCTTGAGGTGAAGATGGTAGATCAGGCTGTACGCACTATGGAGTCCTATGTCTCCCAGTTCCCAGATGTTCGGGTAAGTCAACCAGGAAGCAAGTATGCAGGCAAACATTACCTGAATATGTGGTATAAAACAAGCCTGAGAGAAAACACATAGAGATATATTTCAAATTCACATATCAGTACAAACAGTTCTATATAAATCAACTCTCATCTGTAGGAGAAAATCGCCAAGAGAGGAAGGAAACTGGTGGATTATGACTCGTCCCTTCACCACCTGGAGGCTCTGCAGACAGCCAAGAAGAGGGACGATATCAAGATCAACAAGGTCTTCAAAAGAACATTTAAATTCCTTCTAAGGCGCTTTTATTTTGCCTTTGTTTGTTTGAATATGTTCCATATTTTCACTACGCAGGCAAAGGAGGAGATGAAAGTTGCCAAAACCATCTATGATGGGATCAACAATGAGCTGAAAGAGGAGCTGCCTGTTCTCTATGAAAGGTCTGACAGTTTTCCTTGCAGCACAAGATTTCTTTTTTCATCTTTTGCTTTTTGCTGTTTTAACTGTATGTGCCTGCTTCTCTCCCTCTAGCCGAATCGGTTGTTATGTGGCTGTCTTCTCAGCTGTATCTAATTTACGTGGCATCTTCTATAAAGAAATGAACACGGTACGTGTCACTTTGAAGTGGAGCACAATTATAATGCAGCAAGAGTTTTTTTTTCTTCTTTTTTTTTTTAAAGCTTTATATCCTTTTTTTTTTAGCTCAATCTTGATCTGCAGAATGTGATAAAAGAGCTGCAGGCTCAGCATCCAGACAAGGTGTTTGCTTTGAGGGGGATGCAGAGGTACGTCTCCCACCTTTAGGTTTTAAATCATTTTGGATTAAAAAAAAACAAAAAAAACAGAAGCTGGTCTCATTTATTTATCACAGCTGGTGGTTTATTAAACTATATTAGGCCAGATAACACTTTTTTTTTTGTTCTTTCCTCGAGAAGTGATTTAAGAAGAATTTTTATCCTATTCTACGCCTCATGAAACTTTTATACGTTGTCGTATAATGACAGACTTTGCTGTATTGTATTAGATTTTTAAAGTGATACACCAACAGAAAGCAATCTATAGCTTTAAAGTTGAAAAACCACATGGCATGGTTTTAAAACTCCCCTCTGATAAGAATCTGAATTATGTGGCATCCATTTTTATTCAGCCCCCTTTAATCGGATAGTAATAAAATGCATCGCAACCAACTGCCTTCTGGAGACACGTACTTGGTAAATAAAACATGTCTGTGTGTTGCTCAGTATCAGTATAAGTTCAGCCGGTCGGTGAAGAAAGAAAACAGCAACATGAGGACAAACAAACTCAGTAGACAGGTGAGGGGGAAAATACTGTAGAGCTTACAGAGGAGTTTAGTTATAAAACAGTATCCAAAAGCATCAAGCATAGGAAAAGGTGCAAAGCATCTGTCCAGCTTACCTTACAGACTGGACAATTATAACACTCCACAAGTCTGGCCTTTAAGTAGAGTTAAAGAAAAGCCACAGTTGGAAGAAAGAGATAAGAAATCGCCTTACTAATGTGGAAACCTGGTGGTAGCATCAGTCAGATGGGACTAAGATGCATGTGGAAGAAAAGCTGTTAGAGGCTGCTGTGATGGAGAATCACCCTGTAACAGGACAATAACTCTAAACATACAGCCAGAGGTTTAGTTTAGTTCATTAAGCGGATCCCCATTTGCTACAGCCATGCAGAAGCTTTTCTCCCTGGGGTCCAAAAATAATTCATTTAAAACAAGATAATTTAAAATACTAAAACATAGGTAATAAATAAAGCAAAATGAACAGGCACATGAGACGTGATCCACACTTAGCTTAGTCACATACTATACCTTTAACTAATCAGTGTTGATCAACAATAAAAACAAAGTAAACAGAGTGCAAGTGTGGTACAATGAAATATATAGATATAAATATAATTATGTATATAATTATAATAATTGTAATTCACGTGCATACTCATAAAAACAATATGTACATCCAATGTGTGCTCCTATGCACACATACACATGTAAACATATATATATATATAAACAAGTCCTTAATTTACTATTTTGGTCACTGTTTCATATTTCACCTAGATTTATTGACATTATTTGGTTCTATGGAGTGGTTCAAATTTAAGCATACATGTGTTAGAATGGCCCGCCTATGATCCAGGCCTAAATAGAAAAGTCAGGATCCGTGGAAAGACCTGAAGAAGGATGTTCGGAGGCACAGAGTTTGAGTTGTTTTTGCAAAGAGGAATGAGAAGATATTTTGGTATGTAAGGGTGCTAAACTGGGGAGGACGCCTCGGTTTTAAAGGGGAACACAGTTTGTTTGGTTATTTTTTACACTGGCCCCTTGATTTTACGTTATTACATCATGTTTTGTGTCATTTGGAGCTTTTCTGAAGATATTCGGTTTTGTAATCCAAGTAACATCTTCCTATTGGCAACGACTTGAAGGCACAAACTAAACTGTTCATAATTTATTATTTATGCTGCTAGTTTTACTCACATGCCTGGAAGATGTCTAGTGCTACTACCACAGATGATATCGCTCTCGAAATGGAATTGAACGATTCAGATTAGCCAGCCGAATGAATATAAGGGGTAGAGCGTAGCCGCCTTTGGCCCGGACTGCCTGTCACACAACTCCAGTCCGGCATGCGGATGACGTCATACACACTCTGCTTTATTTTGAAAAAATATAAATATGAAAAATATAACCGTGGATGTCTGGGGTCAGTGATTCGCCTACATGTTATGAATGCTGGCGTATCATAAAGAATAAATTATGAACAGTTTAGTTTGTGCCTTCAACTTGTTGCCCATAGGAAGACGTTACTTGGATTACAAAACCGAAAATCTTCAGAACAGCTCCAAATGACACAAAACTAATATGGGTGATTAGAACATGATGTAATAACGTAAAATCAAGGGGCCAATGTAAAAAAAATCGGCGTTCCCCTTTAACAAAGCTTTGACTCAGGCAGGATAAACACAAATGAAATCCCCATTGTTCAGATTTTTATGTTTAAGAAATGTTCAAAACCATTGTTTGTTTTATTTTCTCTGTCCAGTTATGGTCTCCTTAAATCATTTCAGCCTGAATGCTTTTGCATAGCACTTCAGAATTGTCTTCTCTGTCCAGGTACGGTTCTCTGAAGAGACGGAGTCTGGTGTCCCCTAGGGCCTGGAAATCTGGTTTTGAGTTTAACAGGAGCTACAGTTCCAGACTGAGCCTGCGGCACAGCTTCAGGTCCCCAGAAAAACCCCGCCACAGCACTCTGTCCAGAGGGAGCAGCAGCTCACTTGGCCTCTCCTCACGGTCGTCCACTCTGGACAGACCCCTGAATGAATCCAGAGAACTGGACGCAGCCTCCAGTCACTCTGTGAACCAAAGCTTTGAGGCACAGGAAGATGCTGTAGCAGGGACATCTGGCACAGAGGAGAAGTCAGAAAAGGGCAGCAGTCAGGTTGAAGAGGAGAAAAGCTCCAAGGAGATAGAGGATAAAAAAGATGAGGAAAAAGTTCCACCTAGTGAGAGCAGCTCTGAACTGAACAACTCCTGTGAGTCAGTGAGCTTGGATCTGCAGCTGTCTGCGGCCCAAAGCGGGACGCTGCACGTTGAAGAAGAAGAGGACAACCCAGCCACCCTCGACTCTCAGAAGGCAAACGGACTGGAGAACGGCGACGTTGGTGGGTTGAACTCTGACCCCAGCGACCTGAGCAGTCCTCACAAGGTTTGTCTCCTAGTTAGCTCACAGCTGAGGAATCCTGTTTCTATTTCTGGTTTGTTTTTAAACACACCTTTTCTTATAACTCTTACTGATTTTTTTTCTATCCTGTCTAGGAGGATTGTGGAGAAAAGGGGGCAGCTAGTGACTCAAAAACCACAACTGTTTGAAAGCTGTGAGCTAAAAGGTGTGTGTTTGTCTTTTTCTTTTTCATAAAATTCATAATATGTGACCTGCTAAATGTTTTCTCTTTATTTGACGCCATCTTTCTCATCATGGCTGAAAAGAAGACTGAAGTGGACAGCTGGTCAAGAAGCAAAACTAAAAAAGAAGAGAACAGCCGAGCGGACGGGTCCAACTGTTGCTTAACGGCTCCTGTTCCCCTGCTGATGGTTTCTCATTTATATTTTAATAAAAGAACGTATGAATGATGCCCCAGAAAGAGCTTATAAATCGAATAATCTATTAAGAAGGAGAGTCTTCTTTAATAATTAGCTTTGAGTCAATATAAATAAACAGTTTTAGAGGTTTTTATTACTGGTGACATATTATGCCCAGCTGCTGTTTTTGGAGTAAACTAAACTTAACCCCTTGTTTTTTTGTTTTTAAACCAAAATCCCAAAACCAAGAATAGATTAATCTTTTATTTCCCTTCAATAAGAGTAAACAATCAATAAATACAACTTTTAATCATGTTTATCTATTATTTTTAACATGTAACTCTATTAGAAATAATTAAATGTTTGAATTACATCATGATGTGTTATATTTGGCAAAGAGCTGATATATACTTTTTTAATTTGTATGGTTCATTTAAAGAATCCTGTAAATCTGTACGCCTTAAATGTCATCACATTTTATCACACTGCAAGCACAAGCTTAAATGGATTTTTGTGGCTTTGTCCTAAAAGACCAACACAAGGCTGAAGATAATAATGAATCAATTTTTTTATGTATTACAGGTGTACATTTAAAGAAATGTAAAGCTGTATATAAACAGCTTAAACTCAGAGTGGATGAAGGGCATCTGTGAGCAATACTTAACGATTCTTGTCACAGACTCTCAATACATGTTGGACTATTCTTTGTTTTTCCATCTCCTGAGATCCAAGTAAAGCACACTGAAGTCTCACCGGAAGATGTCCAAAAATGTGAAAATGTTTAGAGATATATAAAAACTGTTCCTTTGTAGCTTAATATGTAACATCCTCTTTAGACAAAACCAATAAAAGTTTAGATTTTCTCTCCTTTTTTAAGAGGGTTGTTATTGTTTTTCTTAACAAGTTAAGTTCTATTATCTGTAGAAAACTTTCAAAATGCTTTATTGTAAAAATGACTTTTCAGACTGTAGATGAGTCTTTTTTTCTTTGAAATGATCAATTATGAAAAAAAAAAAAGGTGGGTAGTATCTGGGGAGATTTACTGGGTTACATTTACTTTAGTAAGTATTGGACAAAAATTTTACCATCAAAAGCAGATTTACTTTATGGTACTTTCTACTTTTACCTGAGTAATA